AACAAAACACAGTTGTTGTTAGAGAGTGAATTATAAATGCCATTTTATAAATTTGCAAAGTCCAAGGGCACTTCTTAACCTGTAGTTAGGATATGCATGTTGTTTGTGTTTACCCTTTTCCATCATATCGTGTGCTTCTTACCTATTCATGTGTGCATCTTACCTATTCAGGCTACAAGCTCTTTGTGGTAGAATTTACCTACTGTATATCTGGGCAGTGCATAGCACAATTAGCAGAGCCAACCTGAGCAGGGTGTGGGGCCTGGGGCAAATCAGCCCATGAGGGGTCCCACCCTCACCCCGATCCCATGCATTGTGGACGCAAAGAAGCTGCCACTGCCATTGGTGACGGGGGGGGAGGAGTATGGCAGGTGACCGCACAGAGTCACTGTGGCTGCTCCACCTGGCTCTGCAGTGCCCCCCAAAGCACAGGGCCCAAGGTGGTCACCTCGATTCACACCCCCTTCCCCCCTGGGATGGCCCTGACAATTGGACTTCAATTTGTTGGTCCTCAGACTAGTATACTTAGTTCAATAAGATAGTTTCTTGATGAGAGCATTTGAAACCTACCATGATTATGCAACAAAAGTAGAGAAAGTTTGTATGTACTATAGTCTTGTCATCTGTGAATGCTGTTTACGCTTAACCTATTTTGAAAGGCTTGTGGTGAATTGTACTGACAAGCACAAAATAAATAATGGTAGCTGATTTTGCTTCCTGAAGAATTATCACGTATAGATCAGTTGACAGTTTTCTTTCTTTTTTTTCCCCCCCACTGCTGGTTGAAAGAATGGTACTTTTTGCAGTAAGCTGTGCATTTTAATAAAGTTCTGTCAGGACCTGGGGCTAACCTAATCAATTTTGCTTGACTTTGACTTTTTTTTCTCTGCATGGTATAATCACGTTTTGTTTAATGATTGGAAAATGTGTAGATACTGAATTTATATTAAAATTGAAATATTGAGCCAACTTGCTTAAAACATAAGAAAAAATATCACAACAAAATTTTAAGTGTACATTGACTCTGGTTAAATAGCTAAAGATCAGTTAGTTTGGAGGAAGATTTCTAAGCATTAGCTTAATCTAGTCCTTTTGTTGTATTATAAATCCATCTATCTATAGTATTAAAGGTGGATAAGGTGTACAAGCACAAGATGTTGCATGTGATGCTGTTCATTTCTGTTTGTCTCGAATTGCGAGGTGATTACTTATGGGGTGATATGGGAAATAATTGGTGAAGTGTGTTTTGTGCTTCATTGAACTCAGTTACCCCTTAAGTTTGATTGCTAGTTATATAAAGTGATTCTGTTCAGCTGCATTTCAAGGTCTTGAGTGTTCCTTTTTCTCTGGTGAACCTCTTAATTGGTGGTTTCTGTTGGAGGGGAGAAAGGGATTTTAAGCTCATTGATTACTTCTACACATTCCCACAGCAACTGCACATTTATTGCTAATTATTTTTCTGCTGGTTTTGTAAATAAAATGGGCAGGCCCTCTTTTTGTTCTAGAGTTATCCATGATGTCTCCAATTTAGTGCATTGAAAAAATGGTCATAGTATCTTTACTTTTTAAAAAGTGGTAAAATTAACCTTTTAACTGTTGTAATAAAACCCTGTTTTAGCCTCTCAATTTTTGGCTTAGGAATGTGATCAGGTCTGAAAATAAACAGGCGTAGTCTAAAGGTAAAGGAGACTGGACAGACATGTTGCTGGGATCATTTTATCTCAGCAGTATTCCTGCCCAGAGTAGGGGGGTGGATTTAGTGATCTTCTGAGGTCCCTTTCACCCCTTAATTTCTATGATTCTATGAATACTTGTGGGTTTTTTTTAAAGTTTAGCAAATAGTTCTTGAGCTAGTCATTAATTTTAAATTATTTGAATCTGCCTTTTTTTTTCCTGCATCTAAAACTAATTTCTGCTATCATATTTTCCATGTATTTAACTCTGTCCCTGAAAACACTTGTGTGACTTCAGGTGAAGAAACTGCTAATAATTAGGAAAATATAACTTCTTATTTTAATTGGGTATAGTGTTTAGGCCTAATCATTTAGTGGTATTCTCCTTGGTGTTCTTTATTGATTGGTTGTGAGTGAGAAGGGCTATTCCTCTTATTGTAGTTTATACTTAAAGACCTACATATTAAAAAGTTAAAGCCATGTAATTATTAATTTGTTTTATAGTAACATGCATTTAAATGATAAAATCACAGACTATATTTTTGGTAATTTTTTAAAAGAACAAATTGCAGTATTTTTGTAAGTCCATGAATATTTTATTGGAGTAGTGCCAAAGGGCTGTTATGGCAATTTATTGTTGTTAATTTGACCTAAAGAGTTTCAGAGCTTGAAGGCAGGCACACTGTACCACAGACCAGAAACATTGGTTTATTTGATACAAATGGAATTAAAGCTGTGTGAAGTAACTATGCATTTTTGAAATATTACACTGTGCTTACAAAATAATGAAACATAAACAGCTGTTATAACCACTGAGAAGCTTGTCCAGGCTTCTTCCATTGGCAGCTGGAATTAAGGTGTATATTAGTTCTCAGATATTGATTCTGCTGTGTGGGGGGCGGTATGTCTTGGCTTGCCTTTTTACTTTTGTCTCAAGGAACTTACAGGCAGCTTGTGTAACTAACCATAAAAGATAACGGTTCAAAAACAATGTTTAGGGTCAAGGTTGATAAATGTTGGAGTGGTGGGCAAGGCCATTAAAAGCTCAGAAAAATGGTGGGGACGGTTTGGGAGCAAGATGTCAGACTGTTTTCCCTGCCTCTGTTTTCTCTGTTGCAGTTGTGGGGTAGACCAATTAAAGACTTTCAAACAAACAAACATATAATTTTGTGTGTATAGTAACCTCTCAGTAATTAGATATCTCAAACTTCAAAGCCTGGGATACAGATAAATGAGGTGCTGGTGGTGGTGATGGGACAACATGACTTAACTATCCAGTGACACTTACTGGTTCAGAATATTTTATCCTTGTGCATTATTGGGAAGCATTAAATTGTTAAATCCTAACTTTCAGATCTCTCAAGCACCTGCATCTTAATATCATTTTTTTACTGGAGTTGTGGGTGTCTAGCACTTCTGGAAATTGGATTCCGAGAGTGTAATGCTTTGTATGGAAATCTTTTCTAGGTGTTTAATAAATAGTGCTCATAACTTGCATCCTTTATGCCTGCTACTGTCTCTTGAGCAATTGAAATGTGTGACAAATGCCCAAGATGTCAAATCTTGTGTATTATGCTCAAATTATAATTGGTTTTTACTATAAAAATTATCTTTCCTTATCTTAAAAATAAATTATCTGATGCTAGAATTATTAAGTTAAATAGGGTAGTATTAAAAGATGGCAGTGGGGCTGAAATGCAGTAAGCTGAAGTTATGCAGATACTGATCTTTGCTATGATGTTAGCAATAAACTAAACCATAGGAAGTACTATTGTATTATGCAGTTAAATGAATTATGCACTTATCTTTCCCATGTATATTATAAATGGGGCTTTCTTTTAACTTGATCATGTCTAAGGACTGATTTGTTTCAAACTATCTGAAGGGAAATTAGAATTAAGCTAACACAGAAAAAACAGCATTTTAAAATTGTTTTTGTAAAATAATTACTTTAAGTATTGTAGATATTGTGATAAACTTACTTCTCCCTTAAATATGACTTGCATTTTAATTTAACTTTTTGTGACTTGAAGTAGCATTAAGTGAATTGAATTGATTGGCTTCAATTCAACACGTGCTTCTAGGATTTAGGAATAGTAGAACATATCCTCTCACATGCATGTGCTTTATTTGAAGTTTAGAAGTGATAAATGAGCTTTTTTTCTTTTTCAGTTCCCAATTATTTCCTTAAATTTGAAGTTATTAGGGTATACTAGATGAATAACTTGGATTGAAGAAAATACTCCTTGTGACTTGCTGTCCAAAGCATTTCATGGACTTTAACGCACACTTAACTATATTCTTAATTTTTGTAACTTACATTAGGAATATTGTAAATGATGCTTTAGTATCCCAACAAATCTTGGTACTAGCTGCTTAACCAATGACTTGTACTGGTTCATGTGTCTCCTCTCTTCCTCTCCTTCCCTCTCCCCCCCCCCCCCC